CACACACCACACACACACAAACTACATACACAGCTTACACAGTTAGCCACCCAGCCGCCGTCGCATGTCGTCAACTGGTCGCTGGACAAAGACTGCGTCTGGCCATTGGACGTTGTCGCTGGTGTAGCATGCACGCACGACGAGACAAGGGATTGGCGGGAGATTGTCGAGGCTGTCGAACCTACACTCATCCAGAACAAGCCGCTGCACGCCCCGGAAACGAGAAAAGTCGCGGATCGTGCAGTCGATAAGCTCGCAGCTGGCAACGTCCCGCACGCACGTCAAGTGGAGAAGCCGCTTGCGCGGCCGCTGGAGAAGCCGCTTGCGCGGCCGCGCCCTCCAATCTCCAAATGCCCTCGGTCCGTATTCCACCCCCGTCTCGTCCACCATGTCCACCCCCACAAACGCTGCGATGGCAGTGAATGAGCCGATTGATGCAACGGCAACGGATCCGCGACACTCCTGAAGCGCGAGGTGGTCGCAATTGCTGATTTCCCCGTCAATGGCCAGATGCTCAAGGCAGGTCGCGCCCCCCTTTCTCTCCGAGAGCAGGTGGCAGTCGTGGATGCACCATGTGGGCGCTGGATCCTTTCGGCCAATCACGTGCAGACGTGGCACAGAGGCCACAGCGCTGGCGGATATGTCACCCCGCATCTCCACCTTCAGCTCCCGCACACACGGTGGCACCATTCCCTCAACGTGGACATCCTCCAAGCACACGTACACGGAGCGTGGGATGGCTGCCACGTGCTGCATGCTCGACACAGTGTTGCCAGCAAGCACGAGCATGTCGACGCGACGGCCAAGGGAGGAGAGCTGGTCCCGCGTGAGCGCGTGGCGCAGGTTGAGCCGCACTTCTGCGGCGTGCTCAAAGTCTGGGATGGCAGGGGGGCTGCCCATGACTTCGTCGATCACCAGGCGCTGTAGTCGAGCAGGACACGTGAACTGCTTCACACCGGAGCCAGCCAGCAGCTCAATGTACGTGGTATTTGGCAGGTGCAGCTGGTCTGGAACGCTCTGCATGTGGTCGAGGCGAACGCGCCTCGCGTGGATGGCGGTGTCGGCTAACAAGAACAGGTCGGTGAGCTTCACGCTGTCCGTTGCAGCCGCAATCAAGGTATTGACAGAGCTGGTGAGGGCGTCAGAAGGAAACCGCGTACGCCAGCCACATTGCCATTCAACGTTCACATTTGGGATGCCCACCACGGAGCTGACATCACTGCTTGAAGCAGGACTAAGAGGTAGCCAAACGCTCTGCACACGTTGCACATCATGGAGCGTCACGCTTGAAGACACCAGCACGTGGCGCACGTCACGAAGCGATAGCTTTTTGATCACCGTGGCGAAGTCTCCGACGACGTGGAGCCTGTCGATGTTCGATGCTACGAGCGTCACCGGACGGTGACCAGCTGGGGGTAGTTCGTATTTTGAAACCCCCACAACCACAGTGCCACCGCGCACCCCAGCCAGGAGCGTCGTACGCACTCGATCAAAGCGATCTGCACCACGCTCATCCGTTACATCCGTATGCATCTTGAAGAGCGCCGGGCGACAGGGTTGTTGCTGCTGCTGCTGCTGCTGCTGCTGTTGTTGTTGTTGTTGTTGTTGTTGTTCGAGAGGCTGGTGCGTTGCCGCGACCGACCTTGCCGTGTCTGCATCGACCTCTGGACGAGGCGCGACGCAATCCTTGGTGTCTTTGCCGAGCCATCCATGCGCGTCGTCGCCCGGTTGTTCTAGTTCTAGGGTGCGGGCAGCCCATTCCTCCACCTTGTCCAGTCCATCAAAGTACAAGCGGCCGCAATGGGCGAACGTGTGCCAGAAGTGTGATGTGGTTGGAGGCGAAGCCATCTTTTTCAGGAGAAAGGGGCATCTGCTGTCCCAAGTCACACCGAGCCAGCAGTATGCCAGGAAGCGCCCCTCCAGCCACGTCGACTGCGCGGAGCCATCAGCAGCGTCAGCATCGCCGCGCGAGGAAGGCAAGGGCAGGGAGGGCACTCCTCCTTTGCGGAATGTGTCGAGCCAGTGCCACGTCCCTGCACTTCCTTGGATTTCAAGCATGTCGACGAGGCACCACTTTGGCACGGCCCACGGCAAGTCGTGGTACAGCTGTCGACACGTCAGCATCAGGTTGAAGAAGGCGCGGGTGTTGCCACGCCGGCTCAAGTTTGGGAGCACCATATGCATCGAGTAAGGCACATCCCCCAGAGCATAGTCGAAAGTGGCGGCGGAGGTGGGGGAGAAAGACGACACCAAGTACTGCGCAACCTGCGTCCAGCAGGACAGGGACGCGGTGGATTCCATGACCTGGTGTCTTCGTGTGGCACGTGGAGAAATGGGCGTTGGTTGGGGCGGGGTGGTGAGCTGCTTGCTTGGTGAGTGATTGTGAGGGAGGAGGAGGAAGGGAGGAAGGGAGGAGAGAGGAGGGAAGGCGACGGCAGGGCGGTGACGATGGCACACAGACACAGACGCAGTGATACGGAGACACGGAGACACAGACGCAGTGATACGGAGACAGAGGCACACAGACACAGACACACACGCGCGCGCGCATACACACACACACACACACACACACACACACACACACACACACACACACACACACACACACATTTTTAGTCGTACGCCTAGCATATATGATGCTGGGCATTATGCACGCGGGGGCGCATTACAAAAAAAGCACAACAAAATCTCTTTATTGGTTGTGTACTATTTTGATGAGGGGAATTTTCCCTTTGTCTTTCTCA